GCTCTCTGCTAAGACTTGTACAGCCCCCTTAGACTGCAGCCGGGTCAGCTGCTGGAAGAAGCAAAAAAGAATTGTTTCTGGGATGGAAGAAAAGCATGTGTCTACAGACTGGTTTCTGAGAGCACCCAGCTTCCATCGGCTCTGCTACCATGGCGGGGGCACTGGAGTCAGTGTGTTAGTTTTCTGTTGCTGTGTAACAAATTCCCACAGATTTAGCAGTTTAAAGGAATACTTAGCAGCTTAAATGCAGCAGGTTAAAGCCACCTCTGTCCCCAGCCTGGCCTGGTGCTGTCAACTGTTGGGGGGGGGCAGGGTAGAACCCACACAGTTGCAGAGTCATGAAGCTGGAGTCCTGATCGATTGATGGGGGATGCTGGTTAATTCGCTTTATCAAGTGAGCCCGTTGGCATAAGGGTTTGCTGTTACTTGTAATGCTGTTACACAACACCAGGTACTTATTTCCTGGTTGGTTTGTGTGTGTGTGTGACTCTGTCACTTTTATTATGCATATTTTATAATTGAGAATATTGAGAGGTTAAAGAACTTGCCCAAGTTTTAACTCTAATACTGGTGAGGGTGCAATCCAGCAGGGACCATCCGACTTCAGAATCTTCTGAACACTAGACTACAGAGCTTTCTATCCTAGATATTAAAAATGTATCATTTCCCTTAAGTTTTAGCGTAAAATCACTACCCATTAAAAACTTTGCTTTTGTTTGGATTTATACTTGTAGGTATCTAGTTTTTTCAATGTCAAACAGAATTGAAATCTTCTCTAATTATATCACAAGCTGTGAGACCTCTGTGGCGAACATATTTTTAATTTCTAAACTATTTTTTACTGAGAGAAAAGAGTGTCATGAAAAATTTTATGGACCTAAGGTTAGATGGTTATGACCATTGTATTTCTTTGTGCTGAGAAAATCTTGTCTGACTTACTTTACTGAGCATAATACCTTCTAGGTTAATCCATGCTGTCACAAATGGTAAGAATCATTTTATTTATTTATTTATTTATTTATTTATTTATTTATTTATTTATTTATTTATTTATTTTATCCTCACCAGAGGACATTTTTCCATTTTTTACTCAGATAGAGCGGGAAGAGAGAGAAACATCGATGTGAAAGGGACACATCGAGTGGCCGCCACCCACATGACCCAACCAGGGCCGGGGACAAACTGCAGCCAAGGTACATCCCCTTAGCGGGAACCGAACCCGGGTCTCTGTGGACCGCAGGCCGGCGCTCTAACCGCAGGCTGACGCTCTAAGAATCATTTTTTTTATGACCGAGTAACATTTCATTGTATACACGTAGCGCAGACTTTTATCCGCTCACCCTTTGATGGACACGTGGGTTGCTTCCATGTCTTGGCTATTGTAAAGAATGCTGCAATAAACACAGGGGTGCATATAGCATTTCGAATTAGTGTTTTGAATTTCTTCTAATATGGACCCAGTAAGTGAAATTGCTGAATCTTAGGCAGCTTTGCTGTCAATTTTTTGAAAACCATCCATACTGTTTTCCATAGTGGAGGCGCCAGTCTGCACCCCACCAACAACAGTGCACGAGGGCTCCCTTCCCACATCCTCGCCGCATGTGTTTGTGGATTTGTGGACGATAGCCATTCGGACAGGTGTGAGGTGGTATCTCGCTGTGGTTTTAAATGCATTTCTCTGACGGTTAGTGACCTCAAGCATCTTTTCATATGTCTATTGGCCATCTGTATGTCCTCTTTGGAGAAGTGTCTATTCGGGTCCTCTGCCCATTTTTTTTATCCTCACCCAAGGACATTTTTTGTTCAGATAGAGTAGAAGGGAGAGAGAGGAAGAGAGCAAGAGAGAGAAACATCGACGTGAAAGGGACACATCAAGTGGTTGCCACCCACACAACCCAGCCAGGGCCGGGGACAAACTGCCACCGAGGTACGTGCCCTTAGCGGGAACCGAACCCAGGTCTCTCTGGACCGCAGGCCAACACTCTACCCACTGACCGGACAAAGCCTCTGCTCATTTTTTAATAGAATCAATTTTTTGGTGTTGGGTTGTCTGAGTTCTTTATAAATTTTGGATATTAACCCCTTATCAGATGTATCACTGGTGAATATCTTCTTCTGTTGAGTAGGTTTTCTTCTCATTTTGCTCACGGTTGCCCTTGCTGTGCAAGAAGCTTTTAGTTTGGTGTAGTTCTGTTTGTTTGTTTTTGTTGTTGTTGTTCCCCTTGCCCGAGGAGATGTATCAGAAAAAACAGTGCTAAGAAAAATGTCAGAGATTTTACTGGCTATCTTTTCTTCTAGAAGTTTTACAGTTTGCAGTCTTACGTTTAAGTCTATAATCCATCTTGAGTTTATTTTTGTATATGGTATAAGAATATGGTCTGGTTTCATATTTTCATGTATCTATCCAATTCTACCAACACCACTTATTGAATAGGCTGCTCTTACTCCACTGTATGTCCACCCACTGAATGGGACACTGAATGGGACGTGAATCTGACTACTGACTGGAGAAATACCAGTCATTCAACAAATGAGAGATACTGTCACTACCATAAAAGGTATTATTGTAAGGGGATTCAAGAGAACACTTTGTCTTCTTGGTTGGAAACTTTCTGTGTTGTTAGTTGAGATGTTTGAGGGCCTGGGTTCTTTTGCTGTTTGAACCAGTTAGTTTAACTGTACTCCTTTCTAAAACATTGATTCTCTTTAAAAACCAAAAAACATTACCAAAAACATAAACAGAATGAGTCAGCTTTCTAAAAGGACTTCTGTAAGCTTTTAAAATTACTTTGTTTTACCATGACACATAGGAATAACAGAAATAACTTAATTTGAATTCATAAAGGTTCATTCAACCTGAATAGTGTGTTAGTGGTGACATATGTAGAAAGCAGGTGGTTTTTTTTTAATGGTTGGAAAATATGTAAACGTGGCTTTAAGGTCACATCCTTAGGAGAGAATAAAATGATTTATGTTGTCTTTTTTCTCTTAGAAAATATTCCCATTATCTTTTTAGTTGTCCCTGGCCCAAAATAAACCTGACTTCCTTATAATGACTGTGGTGGAGGGGTCGTCGGTATGGAGGGCACCACCTGCTGGTTATAAGAGGTATTAATTCAGGGAAGACTTGCCTTGTGCAGTTACCCAGACACTTCACAATATCTTGTGTTTTGTTTTTTAATTTTACCACAAACCTGGAGTAAAGTCCCAGGAGGAAAAACAGATTTTAATAAACAGCTGTCAAAGGAGAGGAGTGTTGGGAGGCTGGGTGAAAAAGGGTGTGGGGATTAAACAAACAAACAAAAATAAACACACACACACACACACACGTATGCCACAGAGACATGAACACAGTGTGGTGATAGCCAGAGGGAAAGGGGAATGGGGGAGGTAAAAGTGGGGATAAATGGGGACGGAAAGAGATTTGACTCTGGGTGGTGAGCTCATGATGCAGTGTGCAGATGATGTTTTATTGGGGTGTACACTTGAAACATAATGAAGCACTAACCGTTGGTATTTGTACATGGGCCCCTACTTGGAAACAGAGTCTTTGCAGGTATAATCGGGTCAGATTGTAGGAGGCAAGCAGACAGCATGAGCAGAGCCGGAATGATGAGCCCGGCGCCGGGGTCACCAGAGCAGAGCCCGGGGTGCCTAGCAGTGGACAAAGCACAAGCCCTTGCACGACCACCCCCTTACGCCCTGGCCCCTGGAAGACGACCTCTAGGCTGCAGCTGTTTCTGCTCCAGTCCCAGAGAAGCAGCAAAATCAGGTGGAGTGACGCCATTGCTGATATCAGGACCGGTTGCAATGACTAATAACCCCTCCCTGGTGTCAACCAATCATTGAGACCATGAGGATCTCTACTGAGATCCTCCCCTGAGACCTCAAATAAAAGCCTTCAGGATGGAGAACCCAGCACCGCTCTCTCTGTGGAGCACCCCTGCACCTCCACCCCATTCTTTCCCCCAGGGTGTTCTCTCTCTCCCCCACCCTCCCTCCCTCTCTCAGACCTTCCCTACCCCTACCTACCCCTCCCTCCTCTTCCTCCCTTCCTTCTCCCTTCCTTCCCCCTCTCTCCCTCCCCCACCCTCTCCTGAGCTCCAAGGGCCCTTCTTTTGCTGTAACTTGTTTCCTGAGCCCATTTCTTCTATGACTCACTTCTTCTACCTCCATGACTTTCTAAATAGACTTTCTCTTGTAGTTTGAACCTTAGCTCTGAATTCTTTCTTAGCCAAGTACCAAGGATGCTGAACCAGGTGCCATTTTTCTGCCACTAACCAGATGACAATCATACTGGATTAGGGTTGGCCCTAATCTAATATAATTGGTATTTTTATAAAAAGAGGGAGATTTGTACACAGACAGAGTGAAGATGGCCATGTGAAGTCAGAGATAAAGCTTAGAGAGATGCTGCCACCAGCCAAGGAATGTGTGGGGTTACTAAGCACCCAAAGCAACAGGGAAGGAACCTTCCCTGGAGGCCTTGTAAGGGACCTGGCCCTGCCAACACCTTGATTTTCCATCTCCACCCTCCAGAACTGTGAGAATAAATCTCTGCTCTTTTAACCCAGAGGTTGTGGTGCTTTGTTATGGCAATCCTAGGAGAGCAATACAGATTCAAGTCCGGCAAATGACGTACTAAACAACTATCTGTTGAATTGAATGACAATGAAAACCCAAGTCAGAACTTGAGTGAAGTGTTCTGCCCCTTTCTGGGATGCCTCCTTGTCATCAGCTTAAAACTCTTGTTAATCATAAATAGAGAAATCATTTTCCCTTCCCTTCTCCCTATGTCCCCGGAAATACAGAGGAGAGAGAAATCCTAACATGGCTCCTTGGAGACCGAAGCAGTATCAAAACACGCTTTCCCCGAGAAATGCACATGCAATGGGTTCCTCCGATAATGGAAATAATAAAAAAGGTCAAAATTATAATAAATAATGCAAGTATTTAAACTTTTACTCTAAGAAAGATAGTAAATTACATGGAGTCAGTTTTCAAGAGTAACTTTTCTATTTTTACCTTTTAGTGATTATTACAATAATGAGAGTAATTAATAGAGAAACGTCAACTAATGGCGCTCGTTCCCACGGACGGCGACTTGTAAACACTTCTCCGTCATCAGCTGCCGAACAGGAGGAAGCCCGTGAAAGTCGTGTCGTCATCCTCATCTGCAAACAAGCCATTGAACCTCTCGCCTCCTGTCACCTGCAGCCACACCTCGTCCCCCAGCTTCAGCGGCAGGACAAGGCCGCCGGAGGCCTGGTCCTCAGAGCTCATGTAGCTGTCCTTTGTGTGCAGGACTTTGACCCCATTTCTGACCAAAGATACCTGCACATTCCTGGAGAAAACAGTGATGTGGTAGGTGAAGTAATAGACGCCGGCAACGTGGCAAATGAATTTCCCCGTAGCGATATCGTAATGGTTGAATTCGTTATACAAGATCCTGTCGAATTTAATGGGTACGTCTGAGGAAGGGAACTTGCTCAGCACGGTGAGCCCCACCGTAAAAGCGCTTTTTGGCAAGACTGGAGACTCCCCCATTTTCCCTTTTTCTCCTCGCTCCCCTTTCCAGCCTCTCATTCCCCGGGCTCCTGGCTCTCCCTGAGGTCCCAAGGGCCCAGCGTCCCCCTTGGGACCGGGCTTTCCAATGGGGCCAACGGGGCCCTGTAAACCAGTTGGGCCCAAAGGTCCGATGTTGCCCTTTAGCCCTCCTGGACCGATGGGACCCACGTCACCTTTGTCCCCCTTTTGCCCTTGAGGACCAGTCTCTCCTCTGGGGCCTTTCTCCCCGATGGGGCCCACAAACCCCTTAGGCCCATGCTTCCCTGGGGGTCCTCTGGAGCCGGGAGCCCCTTTGATGCCTTTGGCTTCAACTTTTCCATCTGCTCCTAGGTAGAGGGAGAGAAAACAGAGAAAGAAATGAGTTGTGAAACGTCACCTTGTGAAAACAACTTTGCTTTTTCTACTACTGCATATGCAAGCGCGATAAAACAGCGTCCAGGCTCGGCACAGGCTCAGTTTTGAACATCCATTCGCTCCTGAGTTGCGCGCACCCATGCAAACCATCCCGAGCCAGCGCCGGGCTCTCATCAGTACACCTCGTTCCCATCTCGGTCTGCTGTCGACCACTGGCCATGCCCACCCTCCAGGAAACATATCTGCAGTAGGGAAGAACGGCACGGGGCAGATTAAGTCAGGGTACTTTCAGTAAACTGACACTCAGTTATGTGACATCCCCACAAGGCTCCTCACGGGAGTAAACAATAAAGTCTTCAGCGTGCGTTCATTGCTCTCTGCTGCCCAGCTCGGCCTGTCCACTGCACCAACGACATCGCGCCCTTTGTCCTGCACACTAGCCTGGTGCTTCCCTGCCTGTGCCTTGATTGGAGAGCAGTGGTTGTGAGCACGGATCTGGTTAGACGCCAGCATCCAGCCCTCTCTCCGCCTACGCACAGTGGGACGTCGGGCAAGCTGACTAGCCCCCTCCCCCTCTGTTTGCTCCTCTGTAACAGCAGGACGATAACATTATTTCATTTGTAGGCTGTTGTATTAACCATACATGGAAAGAACTTAGAACAACCTAGCACAAAGTGAGCATTAGGTATGTTTCCCATTATGACCGTTCTCCATCCCCACCGGTCACAGCGGCCAAGGGTCCTCCCCTCCCTTCAGGGCCCCAGTGCAGGTGCCCGTCTCCAGGTGGCGCTGCCAGGTGCACTCACTGAGGCTTCCGCAACCCACGGCCAGCGGGCCAGAGCCAGCCAGCCTCTTGTGTGATTTTGTGTGGCCCACAAGCTAAAAATGGCTTACATTTGTAAGTCGTTACAAATAATATTCCAGAAGACATGAAAATTGTATAAAATTCACATTTCGGTTTTCATAAGCAGAGCTTCCCGGGAACACCTCCCCACTGATCGCCATAGAGCCCGGGGCTGCCCTTCACCCACGCAGGGCGGACTGGTCGAGCCGGAGACCACATCGCCTGCAAAGCTGGAAATACTTACTGTCTGGCCCTTGACGGAAAATGTTTGCTGATCTCTGCACTGGATTATGAGCTTCTGGGGATCAAGCAATGTGTTGCCTTTGTTGGATCATTCTCACAGCCTAGTAAAGTGCTTGTCCTTGGCAAGAACTTAGTAATTATTGCTATATCATTGGCAGTTCAGAACTAGAACATGGTAAAATGGAACACAATTTCTGACCTTGTTCTCCTTTCTGTCCATTCAGTCCATCCTTCCCTGGCCCACCAGGGTGTCCTGGTTCTCCTAGATGGAAAAGGAGAAAACAGACAAGAGTTGAAGTTCTAATTTTCCTAGACAGAGAGAGTCTAGAGTGACCCCAGGCCCTGACATCACACCCCCTACAGAAATGCTGGTGGAAAGAGGCAGATGTGAGCAAGGGTGCTGAGCTGTGTAAAGGAAGTGAATAATTATAAAACGAATTGGGTGGATTCCCCAAGCACCCAGCTCCAAGAAGGCAGGACAAGGGGGAGATTGCGCACAGATAATCACAACTGTGTCTTCTCATGTGAGCTCAGGACGTGATAAAACACCTGAGGGGCCCTGGCTGGTGTGGCTCAGTTGGTTGGAGCACTGTTCTGTACACCGAAAGGTGGTGAGTTTGATTCCTGGTCAGGGCATATGTCCAGGTTGCGTTTGATCTCTAGTCCTGGTGTCCTCGGGAGGCAACCGGTTGATGTTTCATTCTCTCTCTCTTTCTTCCTCTCTCTAAATAATCAGTTTTTTAAAATGTCAGAGGCATTGGGTGGCTTTCTTACTTCTGCTCTTTTTCTTTATTTCCTTTTATGTTTTGAATTGAAAATTTTACTTTTCAATTATGGTTTACATTTTTTTAAATTTAAATGTTGACATAATTGTAAGTGTTCTCCATTTCCCCGCCCTCTGCCCACTTCCACTCACTCACGCCTCCTCCTCTGTGCCCATGGGGTATGCATATATGTTCTTTAGCTAACCCCTTCACCTTCTTTATCCAGTCGCCCCCACACCCTCCCCTCGGGCACCAGCCAGTCTGTTCCATGTATCCATGCTTCTGGTTCCATTTTGTTTGTTGCTTTATTTTGTTCATTAGATTCCACATATTAGTGAGATCATATAGTATTTTTCTTTCTCTGGCTGACTTATTTCACTTTGCGTAATACTCTCCAATTCCATCCATGCTGTTGCAAAGGGTAAAAGTTTCTTCTTTTTTACAGCTGCATAGTATTCCACTGTGTAACTGTTCCATGGCTTTTTTATCCACTCATCTGAGCTGATGAGAACGTTGGCTGTTTCCAGATCTTGGCTATTGTAAATAGTGCTGCTATAAACAGAGGGGTGCATATATTCTTTCTGATTGGTGTTTCAGGATTCTTAGGATATATTCCCAGAAGTGGGATCACTGGGTCAAACGGCAGTTCCATTTTTAATTTTTTGAGAAGACTCCATGCTGTTTTCCATTGTGGCTGCACCAGTCTGCATTCCCACCAGCAGTGCACAAGGGTTCCCTTTTCTCTGCATCCAAGCCAGCGCTTGTTGTTTGTGGATTTATTGATGATGGCCATTCTGATAAATATGAGATGATATCTTATTGTTGTTTTAATTTACATTTCTCTGATGAGTAATGACATTGAGCATCTTTTCATAGGCCACTTGACCATCTGTATGTCCTCTTTGGAGAAGTGTCTATTCACGTCCTCTGCCCATTTTTAAATTAGATTGTTTGCTTTTTTTTGGTGTTGAGTTGTATGAGTTCTTTATAAATTTTGGATATTAACCCCTTATCAGATGTATCATTGGCAAATATCTTCCCCCATTCAGTAGGCTGTTTTTATGTTCTGTTGATAGTTCCCTTTGCTGTGTAAAAACTGTTTAGTTTCATGTTGTCCCATTTGGTTTGTTTGTGTTTGACTGATTGATTGTTTCCCTTCCTGAGGAAAATACATCAGAAAAAATATCACTAAGAGAAATTTCAGAGACTTTACTGCCTATGCTTTCTAGGACTTTTATGGTTTCGAATCCTACATTTAAGTCTTTAATCCATTTTGAGTTTATTCTTGTATATAGTGTAAAGGGTGACCTAGTTTCTTTTTTTCTTTTTTTGCATGTATCTTTCAATTTTTCCCCATACCCTTTATTGAATAGACTGTCTTCTTCCCTTTGTATGTTCCTGCCTCCTTTGTCAAATATTAACTGATCATATGGTGTGGTTTATATCTAGGCTCTCTATTCTGTTCCATTGATTTATTTGTCTGTATTTATGCCAGTATCATGCTGTTTTGATCACTACAGCCTTGTAGTATAGTTTGATATCAGGTAGTGTGATAGCTCCATCTTTGTTCTTTTTCAAGATTGCTGTGGCCATTCAGGGTCTTTTGTGATTCATTATACATTTTTGCATTATTTGTTTTAATCTGTGAAATATACCATTGATATTTTGATAGGAATTTTGTTGAACCAGTGGATTTATTTGGGTAGTATGAACATTTTAATTCTTCCTACTCAGGAACATGGTATATGCTTCCATTTATTTGTATCTTCTTCAATTTCTTTCTTTAGTATCTTATAATTTTCCAAGTACAGGTCTTTTATCTCCTTGGTTAAATTTATTACTAGGTATATTTTTGATGCAGTTGTAAATGGGATTGTTTTCTTAGTTTTTTCTTCTGATTGTTCATTACTTTTGTATAAAAATGTAATAGATTTCTGAATGTTTATTTTGTATCTTGGTACTTTACTGAATTTATTTATCAGTTCTAGTAGGGCCTTTTTTGGTGGAATCTTTAGGATTCTCTATATACAGTATCATGTCATTTGCAAATAATGACAGTTTTACTTCTTCCTTCCCAAATCAGATGCCTTTTTCCCCTTTTTCCTGTCTGACTGCTGTGGCAGGACATGCAGGACCGTGTTGAATAAGAGTGGTCAAAGTGGACAGCCCTGTCTTGTTCCTGATCTTAAGGGAAACACTTTGAGTTCTTCCCCATTGAGTATGATGTGAGCTGTGGGTTTGTCATACATGGCCTTTGTTATGTTGAAATATGTTTCTTCTGTTCTCACTTGGCTGAGTTTTATTATAAACAGGTGCTAAATTTTGTCAAATGCTTTTTCTGCACGTATTGATATGAGTATGGTTTTAATCCTGCATTTTGTCTATGTGCTGTATCACATTAACTAATTTGCTGATGTTGTACCAAACGTGCATTGCAGGAATAAATCCCACTTAATCATGCTGTATGATCTCTTCAATGTACTGCTGGATTTGGCTTGCTAATGTTTTGTGGAGGATTTTAGCCTCTATGTTCATCAGGGATATTGAACTACAATTTTCTTTCTTTGTATTGTCTTTATCTGGTTTTGAAATTCGGACAATGCTGGTCTCAAAATGACCTTGGAAGTCTTTCCTTCTCTTAAATTTTTCGGAATAATTTGAGGAGGGTGGTAATTCTTCTTTGAAAGTTGGGTAAGATTCACCTGTGAAACCATCCAGTTCAGGACTCCTGTTTGCTAGGAGTTTTTTTTTCCCTTCAATTTCATTAGTTGTAATTGGTCTATTCAGGTTTTCTGATTCTTCCTGATTCCGTTTTGGGAAATTGTATATTTATCCTTTCCCCCCAGATTGTCCAATTTGTTGGCATATAGTTGTTCATAGTATTTTCTTACAATCTTTTGTATTTCAGTTGTTACTTTTCCTTTTTCATTTCTGATTTTATTTATTTGGTTCCTCTTGCTTTTTTCTTGATGAGTTTGGTTAAAGGTTTAATGATCTTGTTTATTTTTCTAACAAATCAGCTTTTGGTTTCATTGATCTTTTGTATTTTTTTTTTTTTAGATTCTATTTCAATTATTTTTGCTCTGATCTTTATTATTTTCTTCCCTCTACTCACTCTGGGCTTTGTTGTTGTTTTTTCTAGTTCCTTTAGGTATAAGGTTAGATTGTTTATTTGAATTTTTTTCTTGTTTCTTGAAGTAGGTTTGTAATGCCATGAATTTCTCTCTTGGCATTGTTTTTGCTGTGTCCCATAGATTTTTGTGTTATTGTGTTTCATTTGTTTCAAAGTATCTTTTGATTTCTTCCTTGGTCTCATTGAAGACCCATTCATTGTTTAGCAACATATTATTTAGCTTCCATGTGTTTGTGAGTTTTTCAGTTTTTTTCTTGTAGCTATGGTCCAAGAAGACAATTGATTTCATTTCAGTCTTCTTAAATTTATTGAAACTTGTTTGTGCCCTAACATGTGGTCTTTCCTAGAACATGTTCCATGTGCACTCGAAAATGTATATTCTGGGGTGAAATGCTCTGAAAATATCAGTTAAATCCATCTGGTGTAGTGTGTTATTTAAGGTCTCTGTTTCCTTGCTGATTTTCTGTGTGGAAGATCTATCCATTATGTCAATGGGGTTTTGAATCCCTTACTATCACTATGCTACAGTCAATCTTTCTGTTTATCTTAATAAAGATTTGCTTTATATATTCAGGTGCTCCTCTGCTGATTGCATAGATGTTTACAAGGGTTATATTCTCTTGTTGGATTGATTTCTTTATCATTACGTAATGTCCTTCTTTGCCATTTATTATAGCCTTTGTTTTAAAGTATAATTTTGTCTGATATAAGTATTGCTACCCTATCTTTTTTTCTTGTTTTTATTTTTATGAAATATATTTTTCCATTCTTTTACTTTAAGTCTGTGTGTGGTTTTCATTCTGAGGTGTCTCTTTTAGACAGCATACAGATGGGTCTTGTTTTCTTATCCATTCAGCTACCCCTATGTCTTTTGATTGAAGCATTTAAGCCATTTACATTTAAAGTGATTACTGCTACATATGTATTTATTGCCATTTTATTCTTTATAATAATATCCCTCTTTTATTCTTTCTTATTCTTAAAGAAGTCCCTTTTATATTTCTTGTAATACTGGTTTTGTACTAATTAACTTCTTTAGCTTTTTCTTACCTGGCAAGTTCTTTTTTTTTTTTTTTTAATCCTCACTCGAGAATATGCTTTTATGATTTTTAGAAAGAGAGAGAGAGAGAGAAAGAGAGAGAGAGAGAGAGAGAGAGAGAGAGAGAGAGAGAAACATCAATGTGAGAGAGAAACATTTATTGGTTGCCTTCTGTACACATCTCGACCAGAGATCAAACTCACAATCTAGGTATGTGCCCTGACTGGGACTTGAACTCACAACCTTTTCAGTGTACAGAACAACACTCTATCCAACTGAGCCACCCAGCTGGGACCTGGGAAGCTATTTCTTCTTCAATCTTTTAA